GGAGAAAGCGGCTGATGACCCCGCCTGCCTTCCACCAGGAGAGAAGAGGCAGCGCAGCGGCCCACAGAGCACGCTCAGGTACCTGGCTAATGCTGACGGAGCACCCGCCGGGGTCCGGCCCTGTGCTGGGCACCAGAGAGCGGCGGACAAAGCACATCAGTGTCCCTGCCCTCTGCCACTGACTTTCGGGGCGGGGGAGAAACCATCGAGAAAATATAAGAACGGGATGAGATTAGTGCTGCGGAGGAACTAAGGCAGCTGTGATGGGGTGGGGGGGCGGGGGGGCACTGGGGCTCACACTCAGGAAAGGAGAAGGACGAGGAAGGTGGGCAGGGTGTTCCAGGGAGGGAGCACGGGGGGGCCAAGGCCCAGGGCCGTGAAAGAACGGGCGGAGAGCTGACCTTGAGGATGAGCGAGGAGGTAAGATGCTGCCGCTAGGGACTAGGAGGAGGTGAGGTCCCAGAGGCCAGCAAGGACCTGTTGGGGTCATAAGGCTTTGAGAAGGAAGCTGGGAGGCAAGCCCTGCCAGGCCCTGCCATTCCCTCGCTGGCCCCTGAGAACACCAGCCAAGGTCAAGGGAAGGGAGGCTCGCCAGACCACATTCCACACAAGAACAGTCCCCAGCACCCAGGTTTACCAGGCCAAGGGATGGTTCCCAGGGAGAAGCAGCGTTCACCCATGAGCCATCAAACTTCCTGGTGACTGTAATTTTAGGTAATTATTTTTTTTAAGATTTTATTTCATTTTATTTTTTTAAAGATTTTATTTATTTATTTGAGAGAGAGAATGAGAGAGCGCGCATGGTGGGGGAGGGTCAGAGGGAGAAGCAGACTCCCTGCTGAGCAGGGAGCCCGATGCGGGACTCGATCCCGGGACTCCAGGATCATGACCTGAACTGAAGGCAGTCGCTTAACCAACTGAGCCACCCAGGCGCCTTTAAGATTTTATTTTTAAGTAATCTCTACACCCAGTGTGGGGCTCGAACTTACAACCCCAAGATCAAGCATCGCATGCTCTACTAAGCCGGCCAGGCGCCCCATGTGGTCTTAGGTAATTTTTAAACTAAGCAGATTAAAAGTAATGGCTCACCAAGACCAGTCTGGACCAGAAGCCGGGCATCACTGGGTGTCACAGACGTCAGAGAGGAGGACTGAGGCCCAGCCATAGAGCCACATCATGGGACTCCAGACCCCACAGGAGGCGGCAGCCACACCAAAGCCACATGGTGTGCCAGGGCCACAAGGGAGGTACCACTATCACCCCATTTTACAGATGAGGAAGCTGAGATGCAGAGAGGGAGGCCACTTGTCCCAGGCCCCAGACACTAGGGGTAGCTGCCTGGCTCCAGAGTCCTTTCTCCAGAGTCAGCTGGACAAAAGTCTACTCTCTAGAAGCAATGCCGCACAACATAGCCCCTCCCCCAATCACCATGTCCCCCACTAAACTTAGCTTCCTCCCTTTTTTTTTTTTAAAGATTTTATTTATTTATTTGACAGAGAGAGACACAGCGAGAGAGGGAATACAAACAGTGGGAGTGGGAGAGGGAGAAGCAGGCTTCCCACCAAGCAGGGAGCCCGATGCGGGGCTCGATCCCAGGACCTGGAATCATGACCCGAGCTGAAGGCAGACGCTTAACGACTGAGCCACCCAGGCGCCCCAGCCTCCTCCCTCTTATTAGTGGGATGTCCCGCCTCCCACCCAGTTAGGACACCTCTGCTATTCATCACCCTGGACCCCCCCACCTCTAGGTCACTCTAGACTGCCCTTCACCCCCACAGCACTGCCGTGGGCCAGACTTCATCACCTCTTGCCTAGCTCGAGGCTAACCTCTCCCTGGCCTCCCTGCCTATCCTTCCACAGGGCAGCCAGTGGGCTGAGCAGGTCTCTCCCCACCCGTGTGCTCTTTGGGCTCTCATGCCTAATCCCTCACGAGACTGCCAGGCCATGTCACCTGCCTCCTGACCCTCCCCCCTTGCCTCACTTCACAGCTTCGCACATGCCGTTGCCCCTGCCCAGAATGTTCTCCCTGGGCCCCTGGGCCCCTGGCCCAAAGTAAATCCAACGGCCAATATACTCTCCCACACCCCCAGTCCTTGCCCCTCTCAGCCTGACCACGGCATCTCCTGTCTGCCATCCTCACGCTGCCTCCCTGGCATCCGGCTGAGGTCCAGCAGGGCATGCATCTGCTGGCAGCAAGAAGAGACGGGAGATGCCAGTCAGGTGGAGGAAGAAGAGTATGTGTGCTGGGACAGGGCAAGGGCCACTACTATACGGGACACCTGGGCCCCGCTTCCCATCTCCACTGCCAGCCCAACAGGATCCGACCACAATTCCCTCTCCGCGGCTGCCACCCTGTCCCCACGTGCCCTCAGGCACCACTCCTACCTCTTCCAGTCCCCTGCCCCGGGCGGTCTCCTGTGGTCTCTCTTTCACCAGCAGCCAGAGGATCTGGTCAAGTGACACCTGGGCCTAAGGGTGCACCCCACCAAGTGGGTTTAGAGCTGGGCTCTCATGATGATGCTCCTGTGTGCTCTTGGGCAAGTGGCTTCATCTCTGGAAGCCCCAGTTCCCTCCTCTGTAAAGTGGGGATGATGGGAACGGAGACCCCAGCACCAGTCCAGGTCAGACGCTAGGCTGATATGCACCCTCAGAGCTTCTGCCTTCAGTGCTCTTCACGTCTGCCACTCTCTGCTGGAAGGGAGCTCCCCCTTCCCTGACACCCCAACACACCTGTCAGCCTTGGCTCCAACACTGCTTCTTCAGAGAAGCCCCAGGATGCCCCACCCTCTGGGATGAAGTTAGTCACTCTCCCCTCTGCACACACACTCCAATCTGGTGGGTGAGGGCCAGGCCTGCCAGTCTCCCCCCTGGCCTCCCCCTTCTGTCCTCTGGCACCAACGGGAATGCCAGGTGGGCAGGTGGTGGCAGCAGCCTTGGTCCCATCACTGCTGTGCCCTGGGCCTAGACCAGCCTGTGGCATGCACTACGTGCTCGGTGGACCACAGCTGGTGACGGCCACCATGGAGATGATGGGGGAGCCCTCCCGCCATGACACAGCCTGCCACCTTCCAGTGCAGAATGCCAGCACACCTGTTCTCCCAGCAGGCCATCCGGAACAGGCCAGCAGAAAGCACACAACCACAGGCCCTGAGTCAGCACCACAGAGGGAGGACCTGCAGTGTGCCAGGCACTGTGCGGCGGCTTGGACGTACTGAATAACGTGGTCTTCATGGCAACCGCCAAAGTCAGCGCTATTATTATCTTCACTGTTCAGACAGGAAACACATCGTGCGCAGCAGTCCCTCCCAGGGGCCATGAAGCCAGTAAGCTGCAGAGTCACGATCTGAACCCAGGCAGCCTTAGCGCTCAGGGCCGACCCACCAGGGCAGAAGCTCTCCCCGCGTGGCCAGGGGCCAGAAGCATGCACATCAGCATCAGCTGGGAACTCATTAAAAATGCATATCCTCAGCCCCCACCCCCTACCAACCGGCTGAATGGAGAGCGGAAACCCACTGGGCCATGCCTTCCTTATGTGACTCTCTGACCCACTGTCATCTGAAACCCCCCCACCCCCGCTCTGCGACTGCCAGTCTTGGCCCAGCTGATTGAACACCTAAATCCAGAGGAAGCAGCCCACTGGCTCGCCTGTGGCCTATGATATGGTAGAGCTCACAAAGAAGAGGTGCGGGCCAATTGGCTACCACCTCTCACTGGAGCCACGCCCCCTCGCAAGTGGGCTGGGCGGAGTCAGAAGATGAAGATGAGAGCACGTGACTGGGGCACAGCGCAGGGGAGGGGCTGAGCTCTGACTCGGCTGATGCCCACCCAGGCTGATGCCCATCGGGATCGGGTGCCCAGTGCGAAGGCAGATGGCCCAGCTAAGCTTCAGTTTGCCCGTAAAATGCGGGCATGTCAGCTGTCTTCCTAGGACAGGTGTGTCTCACCGGGCCGTGCGGGGAGCCTGACGCCCTGTGGAAGCTGAACCCAAAAAGGCTGATATTCCAGGTCAGTGGGGAAAGGAGCATGAGGCCACTCAGGGCTCTGGAGGGAGGAGAGGCCATGCCCCCAAGAGCTCCCCTGTCCCCTTCCTGCTTCTGACCCAAGATGCTTTCCAAGGAGGCCTCAGTGGGTTTTATGCTGGGAGACATACCCACCTCATGCCAGACTTGTGTGGAAAGAACAGAAATAAACTGAGGCCACCGAAGGGAAGAGGGAAAAAAATCTACACGTGGGCCATTCTATCAATGGGTGGGCCTCTTCCCAAGCCAATGTCGTCATCAAAACGGACATGGTGGTGAGGAGACAGGACAACCGAGTGTAGGAGGGGACTGATCAGAGCAGCTGGAAAACTAGCCAGGGAAGGTATCTGGGGGGATAACTGGCAACATGAGTATGGCCTGGGCATCGGATACCATGCAGGAACGATTACTTTTCTTGGGTGTGGCTGTGACTGTAGGAAGGTGTCCTTAGTGCAAGGGCAGGCTCACTGAAACATTCTGGGTTGACGTGTCACAACGTCTGCTACTGATTTTTTTTTTTTTTTTTTAGATTTTATTTATTTATTTGAGAGAGAGAAAATGAGAGACAGAGAGCACGAGAGGGAAGAGGGTCAGAGGGAGAAGCAGACTCCCCGCTGAGCAGGGAGCCCGATGTGGGACTCGATCCCGGGACTCCAGGATCATGACCTGAGCCGAAGGCAGTCGCTTAACCAACTGAGCCACCCAGGCGCCCCTCTGCTACTGATTTTGAAAGCGTTCAGCAAACTGTGTTATCCACAACATTGCAAGCAAACATGGCGCTTAGCAGCCTGGTCACAATGGAGGACACGAGGGGTGGGTGTTCACCGAACTGTGCTTCAACTGTGCTACACACGTGGAGACCATGAATTCAAGCCCAAATGACAGCCCAAGACCCGGGACACCGCCATCGGCCCCCTCACTCCTGCCGGGCGCTGCATCCACGCTCATTTCCTGCTGCAGCAGCAAGCTGTCCCACTGTACCTGTTTTTGAGAAGATGAGCTGCAGAATGAGAGGCCGCCGGGTCACGATTCCTGAACCTCGGGGAAGGAAGTCCCTGTGGGAGGGGAAAAGGACAGAAGTTACTCACGCGGCTGGCCTGCGGGGCAGGAAGTGTGACCACACATGTGGAGCAATCCCGTCTTGCAACTGGGGCAACGTCAGCAAAGACACCAGTCCCAGCCAGGCACTGGGGAATGCTCTGACCCTGGAGGGTCCTGAGGCCACAAGGGGCAGAGGAGGGACTGGAATGAAGGTTGCTGATGAATGGTACCGTTTCCCTCTGGCTGGCTGTGCTCCAGCCCCAGCCTGCCCAAAGAGCCCTTTCATGGACAGATATCTGAACAATCTCCCCACACTTCAAAGAGATCAGTACATTTCCTACATACATGTTATAAATTAATATAATGCCATATGTATGATAAAAAGATGAAATAAAATATGATGTGTTTCATGTCCCAAAAAGACAAATCGATATAAGCAGGAAGTGGATCAGTGCTTGCCCAGGGGTGGGAAATGAGGAGGGAGATTTCTGGGGTGCTGGACACGTTCTAAAACCAGACTATAGTGGCCAACTTACTAATATTTACTGTAAATTTACTAAAAATATCACTGCATTTGAAATGGGTAGATTTTCTAATACATACACAATCCCTTGATAAAGCCATTAAATAAAAAAATATATCCTGTGTATTTCACTACGGAAATACTCAGGCACCACTCGCACTTGTTTACACTAACACATGTGGATTCATGCAAAGTAGGATGACCAGAAGGCACTCTGGACCAGTGAGAAAGGAAAGCCAAAGACCAGGGATCCAGGGCACCAAAGCAGAAAGGGCATTTTCAGAGATCATTAAAGCCACGCAAAGAATTCTTGTGTTGTCTCACGTAGAATGGAGAAAGGTTCTAGGTTCAGAGAATTTCAAACAAGGTTTGCACCTAGATAAATGTTTAGATCATCTGCAATTTGTGCAGGACACAGGACAAGTGGTACGGGGCATCCCAGCTGGGATGGTCAGAGAAGGCCCCTCTGAGAAGGGGAAACAAGAAGTGAGCTACATGCAAGGGTACAGAACCGGCAGGGCGGGGAGACAGCAAGGAGGCCCCCGCCTCACCAGGCCCTAAAGTCAGTTCTCACCATGGCCCTTGCCAGAGAGAGCAAAGCCACTTCACAGCAGATGCCAGGTTCTCCCAGGGACAGGGCAGGCCTGCTGCTGGCTGCTAACCTCTCAAGCACCACATACGGTCTTGACCCTGGCCATCCCAGAGCCCCAGGGCCCTGGCCCAGAAGCAAAGACCTGAGAAGCAGGGAGAGGAGGCCCCTCGCACATTAGAGGCATGGCATCCTGGGAACCATCAGCGCCAGCCCTCTGACACAGAATCAGTGACAGCAGCGGTGACAGTGTGTGCATCCTTCGCCAGGATCTCCCACACTGCCTCTTCAAGGCAACCGAATGGGTCCGTGACCGAACAATACAGAAGCATGGGAACACATCCCTCCCACTGGTCTATGTGCCCCGCCCCCCCATGCTGTGTGTGTGACTGACACAGGTTCCTTTTCACCACTGACCCGTGTTCGCCGGCATGGATGGGCCACCGTTTGCTCATCGGTTCTCTCATTGGTGGGACATCTGGGGTCTTTCCAGTTCGGGGTCATTACAAATGCAGCTGCTATGAACATCTGTACACATGCCTCTGGTACACACATGCCCCCGTTTCTCCTGCTGAGTCAGAGGGCAGACCTGAACAGGCAGAACTAGTCTCTGCAGATAGAAATCAGAGCAGTTGGTTCCCTTTGGAGAACTGATTAGAAGGGGCACGAGGAACTTTCTGGAATGACAACATCCTCTATCTTGATCTGTCTGGTGGTTTCCTAAGTGTATGCATTTATTTAAAAAAAAAACAGGGGTGCCTGAGTGGCTCAGTCGTTAAGCGTCTGCCTTCAGCCTGGGCCGTGATCCCAGGGTCCTGGGATCGAGCCCTGCATCCGGCTTCCTGCTCAGTGGGAAGCCTGCTTCTCCCTCTCCCACTCCCCCTGCCCGTGTTCCCTCTCTCGCTGTGTCTCTGTCAAATAAATAAATAAATAAAATCTTTTAAAAATTTAAAAAAAATAAAATTAAAAAATTAAAAAACAAACAAACAAACACGGTCACTAGGCATCAGGGAGTGGTGGGAATGTGGACTGAAATTCATGGGGTCTGGCCTCTAACCCCAGGTCACCCGGCCTCTGGGCCCGCACATCTGACTCAAAAGCCACTGGCATCTTCCCAGCCCGGGCCAAGCCTTCAGCCACTGGTACTGGCACATGCTGTCCTGTGACTGTTCTGGGCGTGGCTGGGGGGCCAGGCACCATGAGCACAATGGTAACACCACAGACAACAGACAATGAGAGCCTCAGCAAAACACGAAGAGGACCAGGACCAGCACGCTGCCCAAGAGAACCCTGAGAGCTCTGGGGACATGCAGGGAAGGTGGCTTTCTGGGGCTGGAACTTGGTGGGGAATAGGAAGGATGACTGGGTGCAGCCTGGGCAAAGGAGGTACAGCCTGAGTGGGAGAAGTGTAGGACGAGGCTGGGCAGGTGCACATGGCCTCGCACCCCAGGCCGCGAGCACCAGGAGCCCTGGTATTCCTCCAATTGTGTTTTCCAGAAGGTCTCAGACTGCTGAGTGGAAAGAGCAGCAACGCCTACCTGCAGCCTGGACAGTCCCCCCGAAAAGCAACTCCCCAGAAATTCCCAAGAGGCTCGGTGAGGAGGGGCCTGTCCGGCTGTGCCCCCAGGTCCACTCAGGGTTTTCTGACACAAGGCAGCAGGAACACTCTTGGAGCCTTCCTTCCCCTGGGAAGGAGACCACCACCCCAAGTAGCTCTGCCCAGGACACTGTCCACTTCTCTGGAGTCAACTCTCAAGCCTCAGTCACCTGCCTCCTCTGCCCTGAGCCACCCAACCCATGCCTGCTCCGAGGGACGCTGTACACCCAGGCTGCCGTGCACGCAGTGAGACTCAGGCCAGCTTCCCTGTCTCTCTCGATTTCCGGGTCAGAAGGATGGAGTAACCGCCCACCCAAGGTCAGCTGGGTACCAAACAGGCACCCCCATGACTCACCCCCCCGCCACAGCTCTGGCTCAAATGACACCTCCCTAGGGAGACTTCCCACCCTTGCTCACAGCTCCACCCCCCACCCCACGTCCCTCCTACCTTCATTTTTTCCCTCATCACTAACACTCCAAGCCACTCATCTGCTTACCCACCCCTCCCCGCCATGAAGCTCCCCAGGCCAGGGTGTCGGGTCTACTGCGTCCCCGGGCACAGAGTCGGGGTTCAGTAAGTGTTAGCCATGACCATTTCTGCCCCAGACCCAGGCCTGGTCCCAGGATCCTCCTCCCGGGTTACCCACGGTTATCTTTCTAAAGCAAAGGCCAGGGATCCAAGCCTCCCTCCTGAAGAACTCACACGATCCATCCCACATCTGACCGGATCCTCTGCCTGCCCACCCCCCCACCCCCACCCCACCCCCGCATCCTTCACCTCTGGGATTTCTGCGCTTCTGGCTTCCAGCCTCTGCAGGATCTGTTCCCTCTACCAGGAAACTCCTCCCCACAGGCACTGCCCACCTACACGTGGGCAGATGCCATGGCATGCACCCCTCCCTCCCAAATGCACACCTCTTCTCACTCCCACAACATGGCCTTCAACATAAGTCCAGTCCTGTGACAGCATACAGCATACAACATCACCTGGCCTGGTCACTACTGGATCTCCAGCACCTAGAATAGTGCCTGGCATACAGCAGGTGCTCATTAAATGTTTGGTGAGTGGCCAGGAGGAATACAGACTCTGGAGCCAGAGACCCTGGGTTCAAAGCCCAGCCCTTCCCCCCATGAGCTGTGTGGTCCTAGGCAGGTCTCCACCTTCTCTGGGCTCTGGCATGGCCATCTACCAGATGAAGGGATGCCACTCATCCTTCAGAAGATCCCGCTGGCCGCCTGCCCTGCACAAGTCACTTTCACCCTCTTGGAGCCTCAGTTTCCAAGCCCTAAAATGGGCCACCTCTCCCTAGAAGGTAATGAGGGCTCCCAGGGGAAAGGTGGTAGGGAGCAGGGAGGGGAAAGCACAATAGGAGGTGGCACCAGGGGGCAGATCAGAAGCCCTAGCTGTTTATTTACTGTTGTCTGAACAGAGCCTAAGATCCCACCAGGACCCCTTGGCTTCCAGCCCCCCCACATGGGTGGGGATGTGTACCTGAGGGAACAATGGAGGCTTAAAACCCAGGCTGACAAGTGGGCCGGTGGAGGCCTTCCCAGGGGAGGGAAGAAAACAAACAGATAAGCCAGCAGAGGATGAGTCAGAGCTGGTAAGCGCCCAGGTCACTCCTCACCTGGGCAGCATGATGGCAGGAGGCCCAGCAAGTGCCCTAGGCTGGGATCCCTTCCTCAACACCATATCCTCATGGGGGCGGGGGGTCACTCAAAGCCTCAGTGTGACCAGGAGACCTCAGCACAACACCAGCCACGGGAAGAGCCCTCAGCAGGTGGCCCATGCACCAGGGACCTGTTTGTACCCAGCTCACTCTCTCAGGCTGTCAAGAGCCCAGAGAGGGAGCACTGGCTGCCCCCCTAGCCCAGCTCTAACCCCGTCTTCGGCAACATCTCAGCAAACCCTCTAGCAAAACCAAAAGAATGACACCAGGGCCAATACCCACATTTCCCAGATAGGCAGACTGAGGCTCAGAGTTTCAGGACGTGCCCAGGCAACTCAGCGAGGAAGGAGCAGAGCTGTGATGGGAACACAGGTGGGATGTCAACGAGGCAGACCCCCCCCCAATCACCCCCACACACCCCAGGGCCTCCTTTGTGGTTTTGCTAGAACAGAGGCACAGATCATCGCTTGGCCTCTGGAGCCTCACCATCCAGTCCACGTGCTCCAGCAGTCCTCACCCAGTCCCTGCCTCATTACCACCGATCTGGACTCCATCCAACGGTAACCACTGGCCACCCAGAGCCCAGCCCACACTCAGTGGCCCCAGGCAGGTGCCACTGTGTCCTTGGGGTCACC